TAAGAAGGGTCCCGACCCGAAACGTCAGCTTTCCTGCTCCTCTGATGCTGCCTGGCCTGCTGTGTTCCTCTAGCTCCACACTGGGTTATCCTGGTAAATCTCTTCTGAACCCTCTCCAGCTTAATAATATCCTTCCCATTACAGGAAGATCAGAACTGGACACAGTACTCCAGAAGAGGCCTCACCAATGTTCTGTACAACCTCAACATAAAGTTCCAATTCCTTTACTCAAAGGTCTGAGCAATGAAGGCAAGCATGCTAAATGTCTTTTTAACCATCCTGTCTACTTGTGATGCAAACTTCAAACAATTACGTACCTGAACCCCGAGGTCTCTCTGTTCTATAGCACTGCCCAATGCCCTACTTTTAATTGTATAAGTCTTGTCTTTGTTTGCTTTGACAAAATGCAATACCTCACATTTATCCAAATTAAACTTGGTGAAAAGCAATGCTTTGAATATTTGGCTGATAAATCAACATTTTAAACCAAAGTTTGTTAACCTATTAAGTTTCTGCTGGCCATATGGAAGATGAAGTGTAGATGGAACATGCCTCTCGGGAGCCTTTGGAGTCTCCATTGTAGGAGACCCTGAAGGAATAGTCCGAAAAATTGAAGATTCCATTGGACAATTCCCTTACATTCTTAACCCTTCAAAAGTTTTCATTTAAATTGGAAATTTCAGAGGGTTCCAATGAAATTAAGCAAGATATTTACTCAGGAAAAGTTAGACTGTGAAATAGACTGGCAAGTCCTGAGTAACTATTAAACTGATCCCATGCTTAACTCTCACACTCACAAATCTCCTCCCCTACCATCCCCAGACTCTGATCTGACATTTTCTGAAAGCCGATACCCCCTTCGCCTGTTCCACAAATGACCCCCCCTCACCACTAAAACTGCCAGTGGACACATACCCTTTTTGAGCCGATACCCACCTTCCACAGCCCCTGTTGGATCTGGTCTCTCCCATCACCCAACCTACCTAATGACTGTATCACTTATCTGGGCACCTGGACCCTTTACGACCTAGCACCCTATCTTCTTGGCACCCTACCCTCTTCCCACTTGGCATCTTACATGATGCAGCACATTACCCCTGTCACCCTACCCTCCTGGCATCCTATGTACGTGGCATCAAATTCACAGGCTCCATAAAGAACTGTTAGAATGCAAGTACAGCTTGATGTTTCTAAAGGAGACTTGAGAAGAATCTCCTCAGAAATATGGAGCACCCTCCTCTTATAAAGAAGAAGGGGCGGAGTACCAATCTGCATGCAATTTCCAGTGCTCAGGAAATCTAACCCAATATTTCCAAGCAATGGACACAGCATGAATCCATCAGCCCTTCCAAGGTACGTTACGTTGGTCACAGTAGATATGACAAGAGTGCAGGGATTGACCATCTCCTCCAATGTACAACTCTGGTCTGCTGGAAGAATCTCACTTTGCACTTCTTTCTCGCCATTGTATCTGCCACCTGAATCTGATACCAAGCAACTCTTGCCCTATTATGATCCCAGGCTAGTCGCCGATTTTAAATTATGATCCAAGTAGGAACCAGAAACTTTGTCTAAAATTGACAAAGTGTGATTTGTCAGGTACTTACTAAGAGAATAAAGCAACAGGTTTTTAAGGGTTTGAACAAATAACAAAAAAATTATTATATTTAGAACAGTGATATAATCCACAATATATACAGACAGCTTATTTCCAGCATCCAGAACTAACCTCAGGTATAACATAGACAATAAATTAACTATGGTTGAACATCCATAATGGGGTCAAGAAAGATGCCATGGGTTTTGCCACAATTCCACGATGTTAGTGCCGCTGTGGTTCATCAAACCTGATTAAACTTTACAAATGATTCCAATTTCTTCTCTTTCAAAGATTTTGGAACTCCTTCAAAAACAGACTGTTTCTACAATGGCTCACATTCTGGTCGTTCGCTCTTCCAACTGGGACTGCACTCCCCTGGTTTCTGAGGCAGCCACTCACAGGCACAATTTCAGCTTTTCACAGATAGCTGGCTTTGCCAAGCTGCTACTGCCTCCTGTATTGCTCCAAGCTATAAACTTGGTCAGGTACATAAAGCAAATGCTGCTTGTGGACTTTCTTCATCCTTGCTGTCAATTGGCCTGAATTATTAACGGCATTTACAAATATAGCTCCCAGAGCTTTTCCTGAGCCTGAAGCCCAACACTTAGCTGCACCTCCTGCTCCTTTGGACTTCTGAGTCTTAATAATTTTAAGCCTGCAACAGCAGCATCTTTTCAAGATGGTACCTCTCCTTTCTCCTCCTATGTACCGGACTGACGAAAAACCCAAAGTTAGCAGCCTTCTCCTCTGATTGCTTCCACTAACTCCCTAAACTTGACTGTTCATTAACCCTTGAACTGATCGTATGACCAACTGAGACATTGCAACAAGTCCCACCCATATTGCAAGATGGTATTGAATGGACTGCTTTGAAATAGTTAAATGGAGCAACTCCTTGAAACTGTCTCTTTCCTGAATTTTGCAATATTCACAGACTGTTGACTTGGACATTACAAAATGGATACAAGGGAAGATTTCATTACACTATGCAAATTTGATGAAAGCAGAGTATAATGTTGAATATTTTTATCTCTTTTTTAAACAACTACATGGTTCAATGCAATACAAATATCACTCAGTTTAAATGGTGGTTTATTTAAAATAAACCATCTTTTGACATTGAGTTGCTACTTAGTCCATTCACCTTTTAGGATGGAGGATTATGTGGTCCACCATCATTCAGTAGTTTATTTTGTTTTGGTCACTGCCTGGTCCCTGTTGTGTATCCTGAAAGCAAGAGCCTGCCAAAAAGATCAGCGTAACTTTTTATGATTTGTTTTAGCTGAACTACAAAACAGGGTCTAAAATCCTATAAACTGTCAGCTTCGACCCTGCAGAACTCAGGAAGTTTATGGGACTCTACCCAGACTCAACATTCTACCGAGGCACATCGTGTTCTTTACATCTGTTTCTGTGCACTCAAGTTTATTGTAGCTGCAGCCAATGTCTCCCTCTCCACGTATATTGTAAGTACGCGCATTTGTCTGTGGTTTGGACTGGACTGATTTTATAGTCACATCTGGGTTTCCCAGAAAGTCCTAAAATGTAAATCAGACTCCATAGGGGATGATTTTTAGAGGGGACTGAGCCTGGAGCATATCCCAGAAAACTGCACATTTTCAAGATTGAGGAACTGGAAGCTTGAGGTTTATTTATTTGGAATTTTAAACGGCATTTGATATGCCACCACGTAAGGGACTAATAGGTAATAGAGCGGAACGTGGAATTAAGAAGGAATATGGCCATATGCATGACAGGTAAAAAGAGTGGAGTGATGAGATGAATGATGAATCACAGGCTTCATCTGTGTGTGGGGTCCCTTTGATTTGCACAACTGAACTGACCTTCGGAACTGAAGGAACAACATTGAAACTTGCTGACGACACCGATTTGGGAGCATATGTTTTCAGGGCTGCAGGAGGAGTTAGAAAGATTGCCTGATACAATTTGACTTAGAAGACTGTGGTCATGTATTTTAAAATCGCTAAAGAAACCAGACCTTAGATAATAACATATAAAAAAGATTGAAAGGAAAGGACATTTAGTGTGCAAGTACAAAAGCCATTAAAGATGGCAGGGTAAATAGGTAAAACAGCAAAAGGAAAGGGAAAAAAAAATTGGTTTAGTCTTGAGTTCTTATAAAGCAAAGACAGAAATGTTTAACTTCTGAAAGATCATAGTTAACCTGTATTTCTGTTTATGTGCAATTTAGCCATCCCATTGTAGGAAAGATGTAAAAGCAACAAAAGGTGGAGAGATGAAGAGTAATGGTTATGAAGCAAGGAACGGAAAGTTAAGTTATTCTGCTACAAAGTTTAGAAGATTAGGAGGTAATTTGACAAAAATCTTGAAGATTATGAAGACTTCTGACAAAGTGGAAAGCAATGATTAGAAATTCGTCTTTACGTTAATGAGAAAACTAACGAAAGGGTTAAAGAAAACAAGCTTTCTACAGGCAATGGTTAGAGCTGGTCATTCTTTATACTGTAAACCTTTGCTAATTCTCATTTTCTGAAATAAAAAATACTGATGGTTGCTTGAATAAAAATAATATTAATAATAATGGGGAGTCAGCAGTCGGATGGATTTAGTCTATGCGATTTACGGAGATAAACACCATAGATCAGATTGCCAGTTTTCAAGCAGCAATGTTTCGTCATGCTGCTTAATCATTTTCTTCTCCGATGAGATGGAGTGTTTATGCAATCTAGTTGTTATACCTGTGGGTATAAGTGTACTGTGGGTAATTAAGAGATTATCACGTATACTTATCATATTCTCACAAAATTCCCATGAAGATGTAAGTCTATTTAAAATGAATGGGTAACACCTGCACTGAAATATTGTATGCATTAAAAGCATAACAAAACGTACGTAATTTGTCTGCTAATTGCTGGTATTTGTTTCGAGACTTTAATCTCCACAGTTTTTGTGCTGTTTGAAAAGAGTTCTGCCATTGTTTGGTCAACTGTAGCCTTACTGTATTTGAGCAAGACAAAAGCCACATTCTCCAATTTACTGCCCTGCCTTGTGAGTATCTCTGTTGGAGTTAGACTGATGTAACACTATATACCATCCAAAAACAAGAAGAGTCGTCAAGTTAGAGCATCGGCAGTTCTTAGTATCTCTGAGAAGAGTTGTGAAGTTGTTTATCTTCTAAAATCCTGTTCAATCATATAAGACAATGATAATAGAATTATTCACAAATCATTGAAATTAGCCCTATCAATTAAACCAACATGTTACTCTGATGTTATATTCCAGATATGGGAGAGAATACGTCTAAACTTTTACACCTTACTGGATTGTGCAGTGTAACTTTGCCATTTTGTTACTTCATCGTTTTGTCTTTTGATGCTTTATGGCAGGGATATGCCGATGCTCAATACAGGGAACGGCGAAGGCAGATTGCAGAAATTGCGATAAATTATAAACAGTAAGTACGTGGTGACTTCAAAGGGATTTAATGGAGCATAGGGGTCTTAAACCCCTGACAAAAGACTTTGCCCGAACCCTGACAACTTTTCTCACGGCAAGTCCAAAGTCAAGGAGCAAGAGCCAGAAATATTTTCACACTACACAGGATGAAGGTGGTGCTATCACCATGATAAGTTGGAAGCCTCAGTGAAAGGGAAAGGAATGTGAGACATTAGGATGGACAGGGCAGACAGAAAGGGGAACTAGGGGAAGAAAATGACACGGAGGAAGGGTACTGCCATCTAACGGCTTGGTGAGAGGGGTCCAGTAATGAGGTTACCACCCTGCCAATAAAATAAGATTCCCAGAGCATTTTAGCACCACCCCCACCCCACCTCCAGCAAACCTATGATTGGTGATCTGTAAAATCCAGCCCCGAGTGCCTGTGCTCCTACTTCTCATATTGTGAGAATTCATTCAGTCTCTTTCATCAAATTGCCTTGCTTACTATAATGATGTCAACTAATGAATGTTAACTGATGCTTGTCTCCACAGTGGCGAACCAATTCCCAGAGTGGAATACACCCCTGAGGAAATAGCAACATGGTCAGTCAACTTCCTCATTTTTTGTTTATTAAAGTTCCTTGGAGCAAGATTCTTCCTGGCAACTAAAGAAATTGGCCTGAATACAAAATGGAACAGTCATAAGAAACATTGTAGTCAATAAAAGAACGTTTGGCCTAACTAAGCTCATCCATCACGCATCTCACCTCTTTATTTAGCCTGGCTCCCCTGTGCTCCCCTTCCTGCAGATTGTTCTGCATTAATATCCTGGATTAAATGATCTACAGGAGGAATTTCACTTCCTTTGAACCTGATATTGTCTATACATGAGACTTGGAAGGAATTGCTTGTTAATAATTCTAACATTATCCATATTGCTTAAACTCTACTTTCATGAATTGTGCTTTGTCCATCAAGCTGAGGAATATTAATATGAGGCATGAAGCGACTTCCCGCTTTAGGTAACCACTGCATTGGAGATGCAGTGGCCTGGTGGTATTATTGCTGGACTATTAATCCAGAGACCCAGATAATGTCTGGGGGACCTGGGTTCAAATCCTGGCCATAGCAGATGGTGGAATTTGAATTCAGTAAAATATTTGAAATTAAGAATCTAATGATGACCATGCACCAATTGTTGGGGAAAAACCCATCTGGTTCACTAATGTCCTTTAGGGAAGGAAACTTCCATACTTACCTGGTCTGGCCTACATGTGACTCCAGGCTCACTGCAATGTGGTTGACTCTAAACTGCCCTCTAGGCAATAAATGATGCCTGGTTAGTGATGCTCTCATCCAATGAATGAAACAAAAGCTTCTAAACATATAAAAGTCAGCTGGTATTCAACCAGTTGCAAAGATCCCTCTATTCCTGCTGAGAGGCTATTCTTTCAATCTCAAGACATTACATGTTGAAGATTTTGGTTAGGCTTTCCTTGGGTCCTCCTTGCTTGAAGTTCCCAATTTTGTGCTAATTAAGGAGCCATTTTGGTTTTAAGAGAGTGCAGCATCTTTGCTCAAGCCATTAGATTTGTGTCAGAAGTCACATGACACCAGGTTATAGTCCAACAGGTTTACTTGAAATCACAAGCTTTTGGGGTGCTACCCCTTTGTCAGGTGACTTCAAAGAGACCTGTTGGACTATAACCTGGTGTCGTGTGACTTCTGACCTTGTTCATCCCAGTCCAACACCGCCACCTCCACATCATCAGATTGTGGTAATTCGCTGCTGTAATATACTGCTGTGTTTATCTGTGACCTGTGGTGCCAGCCTTGGGTCAGTCAGTGGCCCCTTGCCGTTGACTTAGAAGGTTGTGGTTTCAATTTCCAGTCCAGGGACATCAATACATAATCTTGGCAGACACTCTGTTGCAGTACAGAGGGATTGCTGCACTATCAGAAGTTCGGTCTTTCAGATTGAGGTGTTAAAAAATAGCACTTGAAGAAGATTTGGGATTTCGCCTAGTGATGTGACCAATATTTATCCCTCAAATCAATATCGCTCAAGTATATCTGTTCATTTCTTTCCCTGCACTTTTTGTGGCATCTTGCTGTGTTTGTTTCTCTGTATATCAGCAGGGCTATATTCAACATGTGCTCCAACACTTTTCAATCAGAGATTTAAAATTGCAGCTAGGCGACACTGCTGATCAGTCACTGGTCAAGTATATCACCTGATCAAAAAGGGCCAAGCTTACGTTATCTGGTCTCAGCCAGTGCAGTACGAAATTGACCTCCATACAAATGTAAGTGAAAAGCCTTTGTGTTCTACTGCATTGAAATCTCCAACCAAGAATGCTACAATCAAATGTACAGCTACTGATCTCCAAAGTAATGGAGACCCACATTTGTCAGCTGATGTTGGCAACTCTTGAACATTGAGTTTTTTTTTAAATGAAAAGCATAAATCTCACAGAGGAGAGCAGTACTCTGGTGTCACATACCTTCTATCTCCATTGGCCCACACGTTATATATATTATTCATAGCCATTCATGGGATCTAGGTATCACTGACCAGGCCAACATTTATTTCCCAGAAGGTGGTTAAGCGTCAACCACATTGGTGTGAGTCTGGAATCACTGGAGGCCAGATCAGGTAAGGATGGCAGTTTTCTTCCCTGGAAGACATTAGAGAACCAAATGGGTTTTTCCCCAATCAACATAATTCCAGATTATTTCATTGAATTCAAATTCCACCCTCTGCTGTGACAGGGTCCCCAGAATATTACCTAGTGTTTCTGGTTTGGTTCAATGGTGTGGTGATAATACCACTGGGTCACCATCTCCCCTACATGTAACCTTAACTTTATTGTATCCGTACTTCAGCCAGGAGGATAAGATCAGCAGCAGAGGGTAAATCTGCTAGGCCAGGAGCATAATGAAAAAGCTTGGAATGCTCTAATGCTTGCTGAGCTAATTGCACGCATTGTTCATCTCTTTGGCATGTTGCTACCCAGGAGAGAAGTGTTTGTGAACCTAAAGACTTTGTATCCAACACATGCTTGTGCCGAACACCTGGAGGCCTTCAGACTGCTGGAGAAACAGTGTAATTACAACAAAGACAACATCCCTCAACTTGAAGATGTCTCCTGCTTCTTGAAAGGTTTGCCTTGAGTTACGCTTTAATATCCGATCAAAGAGATTTAATGTTTTCAACATTTTGCTTACAATTTGTACAGCAGCTTTAAAAGTGGTAAAACATCCTAAGATGGTTTGCAGGAGCATTATCAAATTACAAAGCAACACTTAAGCCAGCGAAGCAAACATTATGACAGATGAGACTTGATCTAAGAAGTATTGTTTGAAGTTGAGTCTTAAGGACGTAGAGACCTAAAGAGGAGATTGAGGAGTTTAGGGTGTAGATGATTGAAAACCTGGGTATCAATGGTGGTCTTAAGTAATTTGGGATTATGATTCATGAATGCTGCAACCTGTCAATTGATATTCACTGCTCTGATTATAGGCATCCAGACCTGGGGACATATGACATCATAAGAGATATCAATTCATCCTCACTCTTTTAAAGAGTGAAATAAATGATTTTGCAAGAACGCTGATTTCAATTCCTGTGCTGAGAAAGCCTGCAGATATATAGCACTAGATTTTACAGAATCCAATGGGGTGCAGAGTGCAATGAGAATTGTGGGGTGCACTCACCGCCACCATCTCTCCTCTCTCTGTCTTAACATGGTAAATCAAACATCAAACAGCCAATTACGAACCAAATTAGGAAGTGTGGGGCCCAGGGGCTCTCCACACTCAATCAGGTAGCAACTGTGAGACATTAGGTGGGAGAAGAGGTAAGCGACGAACCAGAGGTCAGTCCTGACCACCAATGTGAAGACTGCTGAATGTCCTGACGGAGCCTTTGATGTGTACTTTCATGCAGTCCATTGCATCTTGATAAAAGGGATGGAGGGAGGCAGTCAACAAGAAACTGTAGGCCAGTTAGCCTATTTTTCTTGTAGGGCAAGTGTTAGAATTGATTATTAAAATGATTATAGCTGTATGTTCAGAAAACCTCAAGGTAATTGGAAAGATTCAGCACGATTTTGTCAAAGGGAAGTCATATTTAACCAGTTTATTGGATTGTTTGCAGTCGTAACTCATGCTGTGGATAAAAGGGAGCCTGTAGGTGCTTGGATTTCTAAAAGACTTTTTATAAGTTGTCACATCAAAAGTTATTGCGGAAAAGCCCACGGTGCAGTGAGGTAACATGTTAACTTCCGTAGAGAGTGTACATAAATGGGTCTTTGTTTGACTGACAGAATATGATGAGTAGAGTCATGAAGGATCTTTGCTGGGGCCTCAAGGTTTTACAATTTACATCGATGACTTAGCTCTTGAAAGTAAAGGCGTAGTGACTAAATTCACTGATCTGGTCCTGACTACTGGGGTGGCATGGTGGCTCAGTGGTTAGCACTGCTGCCTCACAGTGCCAAGAACCTGGGTTCAACTCCAACTTTGGCTGACTGTCTGTGTGGCGTTTGCACATTCTCCCCGTGTTTGTGTGGGTATCCTCCAGGTGCTCCGGTTTCTTCCCACAGTCCAAAGGCATGCAGGTTAGGTAGATTGGCTGTGCTGAATTGCCTTTAGTGTCCAGAGATGTGCAAGCTAGGTGGATTAGCCATGAAGAAATGTGGGGTTAGGGAGATGGGGTGGGTCTAGGTGGGATGCTCTTCAGAGAGTCAGTGTGGACTCAATGGGCCAAATGGCCTGCTTCCATACTGTAGCAGTTCTACATTCTATGATCTAAGAGTTAACTACAAAGTTGCTGGTTTCATGAGTGGCCCAGAAAGTCTGTCCAACTACTCTTCTCTCTCTTTAGGCTCTATCCTATCATTTACTCCCTACCCCATCTCCCTCCCCCTTTTTCTGCATATAAACTGGCGTTTTCCCAGCCACCATCAGTTCTGAGGAAGGGTCACCGGACCCGAAACGTTAACTCTGTTTTTTCCTTCACAGATGCTGCCAGACCTGCTGAGCTTTTTCAGTAACTTTGTTTTTGTTCCTGATTTACAGCATCCACAGTTCTTTTGGTTTTTATGAGTGGCCCAGAGTCTGCCACATGGAGTATAGTGTGGGAAAAAAGTGAAGGAACAATTAAACAAAAAAGCAGAGTATTACTTAAATGGAGGACATCTGCAGAATTGTGAGATGCAGAGGGATTAAGATGTTCTGAGTCACAATAGAATGAGCAAGTTTTCTGATGGACAGGCTGGGCTTATTTCCACTAGCAGTTAAAGCAGGGAGGTGTGACTTGATTGAAGTGCATAAGATCCTGAATGGTCCTTTCAGGGTGGATGTAGATAAGATGTTTCTCCTTGTGGATCAGTCAAGAACTAGGGGCAATGCATTAAAATTAGGGGTCACCCTTTCTGGATAGAGATGAGGAGAACGTTTTTCTCTTTAAGGGTTACACAACTTTGGAATCCTTGCCTTAGAAGGTGCTGGAGTTGGGGTCACTGAATATTGTTTATACAGAGAGAGGTGGATAGATTCTTCTTGTACAGGGGAATCAAGGGTTATTAAGGGTTAGATGGAGATTTGACAAACAAAAACAGATCAACCAGTATCGTATTAAATGGTGGAGCAGGATTGAGGGGTGGAATGGCCTCCTCCTGCTCCGATTTCATATGGTGGGGGATCTAACATTCCATGCAAAGCTCTGGCTCTTGGCCTGACTTAAATGATCTGTGGAGAGTGAAATGAAGTCATTTGCTCACCTAAGCATTACATATGTCACTACTTCGATGCAGTGGTAAACTGAAGTGTGTGATATGCCACAAAGATCATTGGCTGCTGTTGGGAATAACTCCAACGTATAAGTTTAAGACCACTGATGCCGTGAGGGCGATAAACATAGAATGTCCATCTATGCAATTTAGACTCAACTCTCCAGCAAATATTCATAATGGGAGAATACACTGCACTTACCTGGATGGATGCAGCTCCAGCAACGCTCAAGAAGCTTAACACCATCCAAGACAGGGCAGCCTAATTGACAGGCATGACGGCCTCAAATATTCACTCCTTCCCCAATGACCCTCAGTAGCAGCAGTGTGTACCAACCAAAAGATCATAGAATCCCTACAGTGTGGAAAACAGGCCCTTCAGCCCAACCAGTCCACAGAACATCCCAGCCAGACCCATCCCCCAATCGACATATCCCTGAACACTACGGGCAATTTAGCACAGCCAACCCACCTAACCTGCATGTTTTTGGACTGTGGGAGGAAACCGGAGCAAACCCATGCAGACACGGGGAGAATGTGCAAACTCCAAACAGACAGTCGCCCGAGGGTGGAATTGACCCCGTGTCCCTGGCATTGTGAGGCAGCAGTGTTAACCACTGAGCCACCATGCTCAAGAATTTCACCAAAGCACCTTCTAAACCCATGACCACAGAAGGTCAAGGACTGCAGAGATTTGTGAACACCACCACAAGCCATTCACCATCCTGACTTGGAAATAAATTGCCGTTCCTTCACTGTTGTTGGGTCAAAATCCTGCACCTCCCTCCCTCTTGGTTGCATTTACACTACATGGAGTACAGTAATTCAAGATGGCAGTTCACTACCAACCTCTCAAGAGCAACTAGGAATTGGCAATAAACCTGGCCCAACCAGCGATGCCCACATCCCATTAATGAATGATTAAAAGATAATCAGCTCCATGGAGAGATCCAGTCATTGAAGACAGGAGTGCCCTAAGTTCCGTTTCTATATCTAGACGTTTTGTACAAGATCATATCCGATCCTACCACAGACTGGCTGCTGTAGGTGTCTGTCCTATCCTGGCCCAAGTACAGTAGCAGGTCCATAATTTGCCTGAACTCTAGGGCATACCTGTCCCTGGTCAGTTGGCCTCCCTGTCTTCCTCTCTTCATTTCCTCCTCCTGAGTGAACATTCTCCATGGGAACAGGGGGAGTCTGGTTCCTCTGATGGACTCTTCACCATCTAGGATATCCTATCTGTCAACCCTGTCAATGGAGTGGCACGGTGGCACAGTGGTTAGCACTGCTGCCTCACAGCACCAGGGACCTGGGTTCAATTCCAGCCTTGGGCGACTGTCTGTGTGGAGTTTGCACGCTCTCCCTGTGTCTGTGTGGGTTTCCTCTCACAGTCCAAAGATGTGCACATTAGGTGGATTAGCCATGCTAAATTGCCTGTAATGTTCAGAGAGGTGTAGATTAGGGGGGATGGGCCTGGGTGGGTGCTCTGACATTCAGTGTGGACTTGTTGGGCCAAAGGGCCTGCCTCCACACTGTAGGGATTCTATGATTATAACACCCTTCCTTCCCCTAAAATGTGAGTCAAGAGTGTCCAATAACATCCTTCTGCAGCTGTGCCTAGCACTTAGTCCATTCTGCACTCCTGTTGCTTTTTGCACATTAACTACTGAAAACTGGTGTGGGAAACCAAACATTGCAGACAACTGCCTCTTTAACAAGTTCAACAACTCTTTAATTGTTTCCCTCAAATGGTGCTCACTTACCTTCAGTAATACTCTCATTTTATGCGTACACATGGGTTAGGGTTTGACTACAACTTAGAAATTTGGGGCCATAAAATCCAGCCTATATAGTTATTGGTCTCAGGCAAGAAACAAAAAAAAGTTCCATATAATATGACGTAAAAATATCAGATTGGATTTATACTGTTCACTGCATCTCACTGCAGGTTACTCTGATGATAGCAACACAAGACTTTTGTGTATAGATGCTTGGACATAAGTCCAGATCCACACTACCACCGACCGCATAGCGTTGGAGCCAGAAACTATAAGTTAGAAAACAGTACTGTCAGGTCTGTCAAATTAAAATGAAACCAAACGAGCAAGGCTTTTAGAAGTTCCTGGAAGTTGTGCTTTCACATGCCAGCAAACAACATTTTTAAAGATCTCAGCCAATGTAATGTTAGGGCTGTTATTATCAACCCTGGACTTGGGCAGGGAAAAGTCTGCAGAGTTTTCCCATTCCTGATTAAGGATAAAATACAAGGTCCCAAGAAATGAGAGCTGTCCAGTCCCTCAAGACTGTTCTGCTATCCAGTGTGATCATGGCTGATCCTGAACCCCAATTGCATTTCCCTGCTTACTCCAGCTGTGCCTGGATTCCTAGAGAGATCAAGCACTTATCAATATCAGTCTTGAATATAATCAACGATGGAGAATCACAACCTGTCAAGGCAGAGAATTTCAAAGATCCACAACCTTCTAGGTGAAGGAATTTCTCCTCATCTCGATCTGAAATGAACTATTCCATTATCTTGAGGCTGTGACCCTTCCTTTAGCTTCTCAGGGCAAAGGACAAAACCCGTTAGTTTTCAATTGTGTCAAATCCTTTCAGGGCATGTTTTAATTTTTCATTGTTTAATTTTCTCATTTTCCCAAACTCTAGAGCGAATAAGCCCAATTTACTTCATCTCTCATTGCAGGTGCTAGTTGAGTGAACAATTTAGTCTGCAAAAGAGTGAGGGCTGCATTGAAAGATTATAATGAGGTCAAGACAATGGCTCAAATTTAAACTTCCCAGAAGGAAAACAAGAAGCAGTAGCACTGACCCCGTAGAACCAGCCAGTATTTCAGACCTGGAGAGAGCAGAAAATCCTGGAGAAAATGGTTGGAGAGAAATTCCCTCCCAGTTCTGGGCAGTCAGCACCAGTAATATTCTAGATTGCTGCCAGCAAATGGGTACAGTTGTGGCTGGTATCTGTCAAGTACCCATGAATATACGAACCAGAGCAGGCATCTCAGCCCTTTGAGCCTGCTGTGCCGTTCAGTAAGGTCAGGAGCAGATAGAACACAGCTTTCTGCTTCACCCTCCCTTAAAAAGCTGCAGCATGCTTCCAGCTCAATGTGTGACCTAGCCTATCTCACCTGGAACCTACTGACATAACTTGCAGATAGGGCTGTTGTGACATGGTTGTTTTGTATCGACCTGCTCAGATGTATTCTGACACATCTCTGGAGCAGGTAGGACTTGAACTCAGGCCTTATGGCCCGGAATAAGGGACACTACCATTGTGCAATAAGTCCCTTAGAACTCAACCGTTTTACATAGCAGCTGGTCAGATTATCATAGCCTATCATGATCGAGTGATTTGAGATATTTTCCTAATCAACTTGCTCAGAGATGTTATTACACATCATTGGGGTAGGTAGGGCTTGAGCAGAGGTCTCCTGGTTTAGGGGTAGGGCCACTACCACTGCACAATAAGAGCCTCTAGAACTCAACTCTTTTTATAACCGGAAGTGTCATCACACACAACTGAACGGCTTTCCATCCATCAAATCACCACCATGACCCTTTTCTTTGTTTTCCTTTCTAAAGACTAGCCACCACCAGTAAAATACCCATGTAAGATCTCAGCTCTTTCTTACAAAAGCCCAATGACCGTCTCGATCAGCTCTGGAACTAATCTGTGTGAGCCTTAATAGGAACCTGCATTTCCAACAGGAAAACTGGAAGGGAGCAATCAGGAGGGAGGCAGTGCTGGAGGTCATGGTCATGATTGATGTGGTGGAGGCCAAACAGTGGCCGTTAGCAGCCTACATTGAAAGTTCCTCATGCTTATCCCAGCTTCACCTTATGGTAAATATTTTGTAAAAAAGAAAGCTTACTTTGCATATACAAAGTTGATAACACTTACTTAAGTTGAGGGTCCCACTTGCCTTCTTTTATCCCCAAATCATAATCAGCATTCATTCCTTTCCTGCCATATCAGGGGACAACTGTGCGCCTGTGAAATGGGCATGTGTCATCGAATTTCTAGGCCTCCATATGCCTTATATCAATGTTTATCTATAAAGTCATAAAATCAAAAATTTAATGCTTGTATAATAAAAAAAAGAAAACTGCTGCTAATTTTATTACACGTTGTGATTCAAAGTAACAGATGTTCCATGTTTGTATATGCCAGAACACTCAGGATTTCAGCTGTGGCCTGTTGCTGGGTTACTTTCAGCCCGAGACTTCTTGGCGAGTCTCGCTTTCCGAGTTTTCCAGTGTACACAATATGTAAGACATGCCTCTTCGCCAATGCACACTCCTGAGCCGTAAGTACATGTTGTAAAATAAACGCGAGTGGCAAGATTTAGGAATAAATTGATGAAGATTTGTAATGAAACACAAAAGTGCCGGAAATGCACAGCAGGTCTGTCAACGCTTTGTGATTTAGCTGGAAACCCTCTCCATTTTCTTTACAAATGCTGACTTATCTGCTGTGGATTCCAACTTTTTTATGTTCCTGTTTCTAAGTGCCATCTTTTCTTTGCAGAAGTTGAATGAGCCGTGATTGTTTCTTCACATATAAGGCATAAATAAGACACATAAAATGTCAGGTGTTGGTATTTCTTAAAACCTCACTTTTTGGTCCTTGCATCAGAATTGCTGAGTTTGTTTTAGACACACACGTACACATTTAAAAATTAAACACAGAAGATAGGGTTGCAAATGGCTTTAGTATCCAAGGGCGAGGGAGTGGAAAAATTAGCCTGGTCATAATGTCTATCCAGTGACCTTCACAAACAAATGACTGAGTATTTAATGGGAGAGGATGCCAATAGGGCTTGTCGGACATATTTTCTATGGCAGACCTGGGGTACTCTGGCTTTGAATAATAATAGAAAACACATGATATTGGATTCTTGTCAATGCAAACAACCATTGGAAAGGGTGTTTGACAGGCAACTAAGACAATAGTGTTCAGTGATCTAAAACCAAAATGATGCCCTCCTCAACAACTGTCAGCTCAATGAAGTGCCAGGAAACAATTGGTTCCTGTGGGGCCCATCTTGCATCCAGCATCACGTTTCTTCAAAAGGGATGAGGAACATAAAGTAGGCCAAAAGAGTCATTTGCATTTATCCAACAAGAAGCAACAACCAGTTTAACAAAATAAAGAACTGCGAATGCTGGAAATCTGAAACAGAAACTGGAATTGCTTGAGAAACACAACAATGTTGGTGGCATCAATGGAGAAAAAAAGAACAGATTTAACGTTTCGAGGCCTGTGGCCTGTGCCAACTACTTGTTGGCTGCTGTTTAAATTCTTGTTTCAGGAACTTGGCGCTGGTTGGAATGTACAAGCCAAGGGAAGGTGTATAATTTTTACGGCAAATTCAATTTTGCAATTCAAGCTTAATAATCCACATATTAAGTAACTGCAGTAAACAGACTTCTGTGGGTTAGGTTCTGCTGCAATATCCTTCTTTTACTTTTCCATCTGGTGGTGTCCATTTTGTTACCACTCAAACAGGGTACATGTCCGGGAGGAGAAATATGCACCTGGCAGTCTCAGATACCTCGGATAACAAGGTGTAGAGCTGTATGAACACAGCAGGCCAAGCAGCATCAGAGGAGCAGGAAGGCTGACG